CTTCAGCCCTCAGAAAGAACTCCCCCAGATCACTCAGGTTTGCACCAGAAAAGGTGGAAAGTAAAAAGAAAAAAAAAAACAAACACAAAAAAGAGAAAATAAAACAGTAAAAAGGTCTTACTCTAAGAGGTATGCTTCCTCTCCACCCCCACTTCCCAGTTAAGCCCAGCTTGTTTACACCACCAAAGCCAAATTAATCAGTGTTTGAACAGACTGACCTTCACTTTCACAAAAAGGGCCGTCATGACGATGGCGTAAATGAAGAGGAATCCATCCAGTAAGTAGCAGAGTCTTGGATCTGTCAGTCCGAGAATTGCTACGGCATCTGTACAGAAACATCACAGACATCAACCAACAAGGCCATTTGTATCACTCTGTGCTTGGCAGCATAAACGTGGCAGTGCTGAATGCTGCTTCATGAGAAAATGAGGGCAAGTCTGCAAAGGAGATGGAAATCTGAATAGGAATGATCGGATTGATGAGATCGGAACCACTGCTGCAGCTCCAACCCTCTCTCTAAACAGGGTCGGTTAGAGCAGGCCGTCCAGGACCTCAGTCAGCTGGGTTAGAGGATCTGCAAGGGTGGAAAGGTCTGCAGCCTCCCTCAACCAGACCGGGACATACTACCCAGAGTTTCCCACCCACAGAGCCCGGGCTGTGCTCCCTGCAGCTCCCAGGCGCAGCTCAAGGAGCAAGCACAGGATCTGCATGGAGATAACCAAGGATGGCTAACACCGCGGTTGCTGCAAGAAAGCCTCACGCAGAGCACTTGTTTGCTGAGAAAACCCAGCAGCATCTCCTGCAGGGATTTGTTACTGGGCCGGGCTAGGGGTTCCTTCACCAACTAACACTTGTGTGTGTGAGAGAAAATACGTCCATTTGACAGAATTTTAGGGAAGGGCTTCTCAGGACAAAATTTTGTGTGAGATGTAAAGAAAGATTGACACCACAGTAGTCGGCTGGAGATCCAGGCTGAAATCACTACTCTATTCACAACAGGAATTGGGAGATGCATCTCCCATATCCCAGGTTATATATTGTAAAGCGGCTGTGTCTTCCCAAGTGAGGGTTCTCTTGGGCTTCCAATATGGGGATGTTGGGGATCACTAATCACGAGAGGGGAACTATGGGCAGCAGGGACAGACTTTTAACCCCAGACGTCAGGACACATCCATGAGAGACCGTGAGACACCCCGCTGTGCTTTCCGTAGGAGAGGAAGGTTTTAAACCAGGAACCTCACCTGGCTGCTTCTTGTTGGACGGGTCCCCCCCTACGAAGAGTTTTAGATGTTATTTGTTTTTAAAAGAAGCGTTAAAACATTTCTGAGGGAGAAAAATCTACTACTACCCTAATTGAGAGCTCGGTAAAGTTGTTACTCTGAAAATATTGATGTTGATTTCCTAGTCAACACTGCATGTCTTTATACCCCAACTGCATCAAGCAGGACACAGTAATATTGTTGGTTTTCAGCAGCTAAATCTGATGAAACTGCTCCTGTATTAGTTCATAAACATGTAGTGAGTTCACAAATGTAGCTAAAAAAAAAAGAAAAACCAAAGCAATTCAGGTCAAGAAACTTAAGTAACTATAGATGCAATATGCAGCTCCAGGTCCATCCCCAAAGGAAAAGCTATATTACACATTTATTTAAAAAAAAAAAAATCCCTTAAAAATGAATGTGAGATGTGCTTTGTACAAAGAATTGGAGGGAGTTCAAAAGAGAGTGACAAGAATGATCAAGAGCCTGTGAAGCCTTTCAATGGAGACAAATTGAAAAGAACCGGTATGATTCATCTCCTTCCTAAGGTGAACAAAGCACGGCAGTTCTTATTAACCGCATGTGATGGAGGGTAGGTGAACCGCT